GTGGACGCTGTGGTAGTCAAAAATGTGAAAATTCAAAGTTTTTTTCTTTCTCTTTTCTTATATATATGTTCTTCATATTATCACCCAATCACTCTCAGAAATTACACCACACGGATCAAGAACTGGACTCTACGGAAAAATTCACTCTTGGTCACCACGGAAGCGTCACTGGAACACACCTGGATCAACTCTTACCCAACAATGGACAAAATATCACAAGGAATTCACCTATCAATTACATGTCACCAGCTACACAGACACCCTCAGTACATATACACTCATTTACATACATCTACACTCTTTACATTTCACTTCTACATATTACATCATACCTGCAGCCTAAATTAGTGTATTTTCCATGCATGACAGCGGCAGCTTACACCACCACACTCACTTGTAGACACATCAGAACCTGACCAATCAGAATCACTCAGTCAGCTGTTTGGATCACTACTTTAACTCTTGTACATGTCTGAACAATCAAATTCACTCATTCAAATTTTGTATGTAGCTAAAATACCTCATGTAATAGCCCAGTCCAGCCAAAATCACTCATTACTGGCTGCCCTGGAGCTAAATTCCCTCACTGGTGTATATATAAGAAGGCTCTCCTCCCAGTTGTTAAATCAGCAGTCAAGTAACACTCAATCAATATTTGACCACCCTTACACAAACACTTTAAAGCGCCAACCAAACCAAATCAACAACTCTTCATCACACAAACTCATTCCTGAACTTTACCCTATCACTTGATTAAAAATTGCCAAGGTGAGCTTGGTGGGTCTTGTTATCTGATAGTATAGAAGGGCAGAGCTTACACTCCATCATCCCCTTCTCCATTCAGCAAAAGGGGTCTTACAACCACTTTTTGAGTCTTACAATGCCTTACGAGTTGGAGCAAATCTTCCAGGCCAATTTGCTGCTGTTTGAGCGGTCATGAAACTTAATTCAAGACTTTGGTGTGTTAGGTAGAAGCAAATGATCGCCTTTTCATATTTATTAAGTAGGACCCAATGTCAGCCTTAGAGCCAACCAAGCTGGCCAAAAGACTGCCAAAACTGCCCATTTCTACACAAAATATTATCTTATCTTTTTTATCTTAAGACTTTTAACCTTTCTGACTTCAGAAATGGATTCCTGGTGTGAAATTAACCCTAGTCACCACTGATCACTTTTACCCAACTCCATTCCTTCATTGACTTTGTAATAATTCACAGTACTCCAGTAATTATTCCAACCTTTAGGTTTCCGCTCCCTCTACCACATGTACATGCCAGATTACATAATCCAACTTTGAAAATCCTCTCTGAGCTTGTTGATTCCGCTTCCAGAGGATTTTCAGACTCCAGACCAACACAGAACACCAACAACCAGATCTAGATCAAGCAGACACTTATCAACCAGAAGGACCTCACTTTTCCTACCTTTCCCACTACTCAGTGTCATTGGTATCATTAGTAAGTCTCTTCTCATAAGTTAAGCTAGCATCTTTCTGCTTGTTTCTCTTCTCTGTCTCTCTCAGTTTCTCTTCACTCCCCTCCAAACAAAAGCCCTGATCAAAGAAAGCAAGCTCCTGCCAACGGTGCCACAGAGACGATATGATACGGTATCAAGCGTTTATCTGTATCGTCTCAGAATTGGAATACCCAAAAATACCGGATTTGTGTTGTCTCACTTTCCTGAGACATATACATGTATTGTATTTGAAAAGTGAGAAATGTATTCTGTATCGTCTCAGATGACTGATCCCACCAAAACCGTATTTGATACATAAGATATTTGGCTGTATTGAAGAAAAAACAAAAAAAACGAAGACGAATTTTTTTTTTCATTTTTAAATCCAAATCCGATACAATGTATTTTTTCACCAACCAAGGAAATACTGATACCGGTATCAGGCTCAAAATAAATACGATACAATCCAATACAAATACATGTCTCGTATCTGTGGCACCATTGCTCCTGCTTCTATTATCTCTACTTCTCCTGTTTGGTAGTATAACTGAAAACTACATAGGTTTCCCTTTAAAGAGACTTGATCTTTGATCTAAAAAATTTTGGCTGACCTGATTCATCAGTGTCAATAACCCATTTCAGTTTCTGTTGATTTGGAGGCGTCAGAGTTAGCTCCGCTTATAACAGCCATCCTACTAAGGAAAATAAGACTGTCTGCAGCCATCCAAGAGGGACAGTAAGAATGCCATAATTTAATCTTCTCCATAGAATAAACAAAGGACAAAAAGATTATTCTATTATTTTCCTTCTCTTCTTTCCCTCTCTTCTACTTTTACTTGTATTTCCTTTATCTTGAGAAATACATTTAAAAGTGCCCCCCAAAACCTTGTGTCCTGCTGTCACTATTGAGACCCAGGCTCACACCCAAGAAGAATTGACGTCAGAGCTGAAGCAGCGTAATGCAAAAGTGCTTATATTTGAAATTTGCCTGCTCCAGCAGGTTTTAGCAAAGGATGCTAGCACACTCTTCTCTAGTCTTATCGATTCTCATTTTTTTCTGGTCGCATATTCTTAATCAAATGGAATATTATTTTTTGTGAGATTATATTGTTAGATTGCTTCAACTCATTTGCCAATCTCTAACAAATTTGGGGCTGATGGGTTTGTACAATTCAAATAACTATCCCTCTGACATATCCTTCTTGTTTTTTTTTTAAAATTTTCCCCTTCTCTCAAGTATGTCTAATTGTTGCTATTCCAAAAATAGGGGTTTCCCTATCAATCCAATGTGGTTGCTACAGTGTAGTTTTGGGTCAGGTTAGCATGTACTAGCTTTTGAAGCAAATGTGAATAAAGTGTGGGTTTTAAGTATTTTCTTGAGAAAAAAGTAGAAATTCTTGAAGATAAATCTGTGGTTATTCTCCTTATGAAGCCGAATCAACATTCTGGCTTCTGATGAAAAATCCATTTTATGGGTCTGATACTAGATACATAAGCTCTCCCAAGCTACATAATTCTATCATTGGATCTTCAACTATATCAAAGAACAAGACTGATGATTGAATCATTTCCTGTTGGATTTTCAGTATTGATACTCATTTTAACTCAACTGTCACTTTTTTTCTTCAAAACATCGTATACTTCATTATTTTATTCAATATTGTTGTTTTTATCTTTCATTCTTTTATTTAAACATATTATACCTACCACCACATCTCAACATCCAAACTTATTTTTCATTAAATCAGCAATGACATCATCAAAAGTCCTGACCACATTGCTCCTTGAGAGTCAACACATCTTAGCCTCTCTCTCAAGTGCTTAAACGCCTTGATGTTCTATCAGAATATCTATGATTAAAGCTTTAAAGTTTATCTCATCATTGGTTCTTCCAAAATTATTTCTACTTTTACCCCCTTCCTCCCCCCTATAACCTGCTGAAAAATAAAATTGATAAGGCTTCCTGGTCAGTTTGCAAATCATAGTTAAGACCAGAGCTACCACTAGTAGCTGAAGAAAAGTGAGTTGAATTTTTTTGCTAAAGGGGAAAATTATTCCCAAAAAGTGAGAAGTTCAAAGTTATAATTTTCCAAATAAAAGAAAAAACCAAAACTAATACAGCTATTTCGGAAAGGGTTGTCCACTTGGACTTGCGAATTCTTTTTTATTTTTTTATTTTTTATTTTTTTACTGAACTGGACCTGTCAGAACTGAACTACTGATGACAGCTGTACCTCCTCGGCAGTAGTTCAGTACAAAGAAAAATTTCAAAAATTTCAAAAAAAAAAAAAAAAATGGCGAGACAACTGGACAACCCTTTCCAAAATAGCTGTAAAATTAGAAACAATTTCCAATAAGATCTGAGGCTGTAAAGCATGCCACAATTGGGATTCATTGCAAGTCATGGGTCCTCATTTGAGATCTCCAAGATGAAAACAGTCACTAGAGTTGAGCTTAAGTTTATCTTCACCCCGGGATCAAGGTTTCAAGCCTCTGTCTACCAGAAGCCATTACCCAAACATGCAAGCAGTATCCCTAGTTAAGACAACAGCAGGGCGCCCACAGATCTGCAATACAACACAAAATGTATTGGTTCATCAGGGATGGAATTCTTGTCCTGTCTCTTGTAGGCTCCTCTTATCCTCATTTTGACACGTTTACGTCATGGTCATTTGGCCGAGTTGGTCTAAGGCGGCGGTCTTAAGATCCTCTATCGCGAGATGCGTGGGTTCGAATCCCACAGTGACCAGATCTTTTTGTCCATTCTGAATCTCCTCCGGGTGTCAAGTTTTCCTCAGAATCCCCCGATCAAAATCCCAAGAAGAATGTCCGAGGACCACAACTGAACAACCAATCTGAAGTTTTGAGTTTGGTTTTTGGATGAAGGATGAAGACTTCAAGAATCATCCACAGTGTTGCTCGAGCACCACATCACCAGCGACCATCGACTATCTGCTTCAGGACATCAACATCCTCATCGTCAGCTCTCCCATGTCTCACCCGATCTCAGTCCACCGCAACAGCCACAAAGGAACTATCAGAGCCATCGACAATACCATCACAGACTACCCGTACGTCTTATCTCTTCCTAGTCTTGGCGAAGGTTCTCATTGACTGATATTATCCCCCTCCCCTTCTTGATGTAGGAGCCGAAACGTCACTGAGGAGGTTTTGGAAGACGGTTGATGTTCACAAGCAAGAAGATGGTAAGAGTTTTTTTTCCGTTCGCTTTTAAATAACTGTTTTGAAGGGATGTTGACGATGAAATATATCAGGACAGTACTCAATTCGCCTCGATCTACGTAACTTAAAAACGCCGAGTGGGAAGCCGCTAGTGTTACCGAAAACTAAGCTAGTTTTGGCCACCTTGATTGCAAGAGAGTGGGACGAGCAACGCAAGATTTTGAAGCAACATTCCCTCCCTATGGTGAGTCTTCAACCCAAAAATAATTCCCTTGAGAAAAAAGAAAATAACAATTCAGGATGTTGATCTGTGATGAGGGTTCTTGGCATAGACTTCTCTGGCTTCACGGGCTATCGACGGCTTGAGCGAAGCCGAAAGGGATGCAGTGGTTGATGATCTGATGAGATATCTGGACACGGACACGATATGGTGAGGAGTGACTTACATGACTTCCAAATCAAAGTCAGCAAAAAGAGACTACATGAACTGATCTCTCTCTGTTTCTCTTGACCGACCGATCGCTACCAGTTTCCAGGAATCGAAACCACGAGTGCTAGCAGAGATGCAAAAGACCCACTGGGCTCCGCTGCTTGTATGGCTGCAAGAGGCCTACGGGATCCACCTAAGAGTGCACGAGGATTCGATCGTTTATAGCAAACAGAGTCCCGAGACACACTCGAAATTAAGAGCCCTTGTCGCCCAATTTGACCCTCTCAAACTGGCCGGTAAGTCCTCTATAACCTCATCCCCCCCCTCCTGCCTCGGCCTTTTGCTTCCTCTCGGACCATCATTCACGCTGGCCCGTCTCATGTACATAGCATTTGAACGGGCCGTACACGCTACTAAATCGTTCGTCATCGCATTGGCTCTCGTCCAAAATCATCTCACTGTCGATCAAGCTAGCGACGCCAGTCGGGTCGAGGTGCTCAGTCAAATCGCTCGGTGGGGCGAAGTTGAAGATAGTTCAGTCCTCCTCCTCATGCCCCCCCCCCCCCTCTCCAATAACAAATCCTTGCATTTTTATTATTATACTGACTGTAATCTTTCTCTTTTTGTTGCATATGTTAGCTCATGACGTCGATTATCAAGAGATCAGGATGAAGTTGGGAAGCGTCAGTTGTGCGATAATCGATACACCCTAAAAACGCATGGAGTATCAAGCAATCTTGAGCAATAAAAGCTCAAACCTTTGTCATAGAAACATCGTCCAACTCGAAATTTATCGACCCTGCAAGAAAAAAAAAAGCTTTTCATCTTTATTTTTACGTACTTATTGGGCTGCATAGAGGCAAATTACAGAGCCATAAGTAGTCGCTTCATGCGTGCTTCTGACTTAGTCGGTCTGAAATTACATGTCACATGTCCCTGATGATTAGAACTGGTGTAGGGTACCAGACAGGCGGGGATGAAGAGACATTAAGGTGTTGAGACCATGGGTACGGATGCGAGTAGACTTTAGTCGGCCTGATACTCAGAGATTCCGAGCAGTTGAGCAGCCAATCTGGCCTTGAAGACCATGTCCGACCCGGGCAATCTTGCATTCATGACTAGTATTCCCTAGATACCGGACGGGCCATCAGTTGCTGGTCCGGTAGCGCCTGAAGAAGAAGAAGAAGATCCGAAAAAACAAGAGGCTGGCCCAATAATGTAACCTGAGGAAATGGAAGCCTTGATGAACTGATTGGACTAGTTAGTGAAACTCAGATACCGGGCGGACAGAATGATCACATTGATCACCAGGCTGTGGGGGGGGGGGGGGACTGAAAATCAGACCGGCCCAGACCTAAAATTGAGGAAGCTGTAGAGACCAATCAGTTGGTTCCGACCTGGCCTCAATCTTCATGGGACTTGAAGGATAAGGACATGGATATATAAGGAGAGTGAAAGCTTCCCCGAAAAGCCACCCCACTTCTCATCCCATCAATCCCAAGCTCAGGCACATCAATCCCCCCCTTCCCCACATTATTTATTGCAGAAGCATCACCTTCTAAACATATATTTCCAAACACACACACACACATACACACACCAACTTTCATTGAAATATACTTTCCAAGAGCTATTCCATCATGAACACCTTCACCGTCTTCGCCGCTTTGTTGCTCCTTTCTTGGGAAATCAGCGCCCATTCGCACGACAGTTACACGTCTCAACCACACCCGAATTTACCTGCCTCAGAGGGTTACAATAGCCCTAGCCTTCCTTCCCATGCCGTGGTACCGACTCATAATCTTACCCCGCTCAGGGGCTCTAACAGCCAGGTCTCGAATGGCTCAAATGTACGCAATCTTGCAATCTTCCTGTTGATCCAACATGCTCCATCAACTGACTTGACATCTTCTTCTCTCTTTGGAATACCTCAGGGCTATCTCGAGCCGGTGTTTAGTGGCCATGCTACTCCTCAACCCGACTCGGCTCTTCATGGGGGAGCCAATTCTGGCGCTTACGCGAAATCAGGAGCGACGACAGTTCGGCCGGTGCACCCGAATACAAGTCTTCCAGAAGAAGGAACCATGGTCCCCGGCGCTGTCGATACGAAATACGGCTCAGCGCTTCATTCAGGCGGAGAACCCAAGCAAGCTGGAGCGATGCCGGACTATATCCCAACTTTCCAGCCATTCGGTGGCCGTCAATCCGCCCCAGTTTCCCCCGGATACCTGGCACCCTCGCCCAAGCGAAACCTCATCGCCGCCAGAACCTCCCGATGCTTCATCCCAAACCGGTGCAGAGCTCCCGTCCATTGCGTCTCTCCTGCCAGCTGTAGAACTTTGGCTAAATACTGCTGGAAAAAGGCTAGCCGGTGTGGTTACACTTACTGATTCCTTGCTATCATTGCATCTGAGAGCTTTTGTATTTTTTTGGTGGACTTGAAGGAAGCTCATTTTTTTTATTCTAGGATAGCAGATTGTAAATATTTATTGGTCATTTATTTTTTTGGGGGTCAACTTTAACATCTACTTGTATACTATGTATTCTATTTATTGGATTCCTGAATGAGGAAACTCTTGTCTCATTACACAAACTCAAGCTCGTCGCAAGAGGCCTTTAAGATACCCAAACTCCAGCTTATTTTTGTGAAATAGGTATTTTAAACCGAGTTCAGGACTGATCCTGCTGTTTCCAAGGTCTTCCAAGAAAGTGAAGAATCAACAAAGAGGAAACGGACCGATCGAACAGGGAAAATGAAGATAATCATGAGACTTATGTAGAGTAGTCTTATGAAGATGCTATTCTTTTTTGCAAGAACCGATGATCTAAAGATTGTAGAGAAAGCCGGGTCTGGTGAATCGTACTTCATCAGTGTCTGATCCCAGTCTTGGAACGTTGGTTAAATCTGGCCTCACCGATTCCGATTCCTCCAAAGGAATAGGTCCCTTGGCCTATGTACCAGTGGACGAGGGAATTTGTCAGAGAATTGCGGCGACAAGGAGAGAGGGAGGCAAGTGAGGAACATGCCGCGTTCTTCGGGCCAGCTGAGCCAGCTGTCTGCCACGCGTCCATAAACTTTGGTCACTTGAGCTGCGTGCCAGTTGCCTGGTAAGAAACTAGTACGGAACATAAGGGGCTGCTACCTTGCTTAGCAAGAAAAGTGCAAACAAACGCCTTGAAACGATTCCTGATGTTTCCAAGAAAGCAGAACACCTCGTCCATCATCAACCCGTCGGATCATGAATCAGATCCCTCGAGAATCAAACTTCCCGCATAACAATATTTTCAATGGTGTTTGCCTACATACATCAGTGGCACTAGTGTTAAGCAATCATCGCGATCTGTTTAGCTACACACTTTCCAGCGAATGATCAGATGTTGGGGGCTATTTTGAATGGTTATATGTTAGTGCCACACTAAGAGTAAGAGTACAGTTGTTGACGCTGTAGTCACTGGGCAGTGGGTTTCTCAAAGGCCTTGATCACGGGTAGAATTTGTAGTATGGTCAGATTCCGACAAGTACACATATCACAAGCTGCAATCCATAAATAGCCCCTTCCCTGCGTGGTTTCCCGTGCAATATACATTTGCTCCTCATTGCTCTCATAATATTCATAGGGACCAGGGTCTTTGCACTCTATAACCATTGGGAATCTTGTTCCGAGGTAAGTCTCTCATTTGTTAACTTTGCAATCTTTATATACATCTTAAGATACAAGCCTTCGATTGCAAACCAACACTTCAACAGCGTCAATATAGGTCGGCTTGCTTTACTACTCGTTGTATTGCTGGTGCATACCTGGAGAGGTAAGCGGTGTTCTTGTTGAGTATCACAGGTTGGATGTCTGCTGATTTTACAGGTTAAATGATTTTCAGCATTTCTCTGAAAATACAAGGCCCACTTAAGGAGTGATTGATCAAGATGAAAGCAACCTTTCCATGCATCTTCCTCGTCATTCTCACAGTCTTACTGGCGACTCCAGTAATGGGTTGGTTCAAAGAAAAAAGCGCACCGGTGGCGCCGGATCCTTTGGTCAAGGGATGGACATTGGGCCCTGGATTATCAAAAGATGATCCTGAGGCGCATCTGATCATCGCGAATGGACACGGCCTCAAATTTCATCCCAGTGGATCAGGAAAATGGATGGTGGAGAATGAATTCAAGCGCAGGATTCTCATTAGGGTCCACATCAAAGACAACGATGGAAAACTTATACACTTTAATGTCACTTTGGGCGCCCGAACCTACTATACTAATCTAGACATACCCCACTCCAAAGGCCTGATAGTAGATATTGAGTACGTCGGACCAATAGAAAATATGTAACCTGGTAATTAGTCTTTTAGAATTTGTGCATTTTCGTCAATCCAGCAGCTTCCAATTGTGCTCAAAATAGCCGGGCTTGGCAAGAACACATTCTCATCAATTAGACCCCACAACCTTGTGCGCCATGTTAAAACCGTCAGCTCTAAGAGCCCTTGAGTACATTGCTGGTGTCCTCGTACCCAGTAGGAAGGAAGCCAGATTTTTCATCTTCGAGTTTGCAGATCTTCAAGTGGAGGAGTATCTGCACTAGGGTGAAAAACCCCGATGATTTGATAGTCTTCAGTTGTTCGGCTCAATTCACCCTCCCCCCTACGCGGTATCGCGGTTTGGCCAAAGTCTCAAAAATTCACAAATCAAGCAATCATTCCAACCTACCGAATAGTTAAAGAGAGAGGCGGCGCGTCATTTTCAAAACCTTTGCAATGGCATGTCAAGCATCGTGCAACTCTGTTAATCAATAAATGATCTTCAGAGTCCATGCAATATAGTTACCGGGTGGGCCATCAGCGACTGAAGATGTTTACCATAAGGTCTTGGCAAACCCAGGATGTTCAACATTTACATGAGATGCGGATCTGGTCAGATACAACCTTTCTATCTGACTCAAGACTGGGTTGTGCCCTTTGCTAAAACCTGTTGGAACAGGCAAATTTCAAATATAGACACTCTTGCATTGCGCTGCTTCAGCTCCGACATTGATTCTTCGGTCCTACTTAATAAATATGAAAAGGCAATCATTTGCTTCTACCCAACACTCCGAAGTCTTGATTTAAGTTTCACGACCGCTCAAACAGCAGCAAATTAGCCTGGAAGTTTCTCTCCAACTCGTAACACGTCCACTCAGACCTCTTTCAATTGGGTTTTATCAACCTCGTTGACGTTGCGGTCAATGCGCCTCTTCGCTCATTCAATAGAAGAGTTAGTATAAGAACATCTACCAATTGCCTTAGGCTGCTCACATTCCATAGGGCGAAGACTGCGAAAACATCATTGCGAAGATCTCCTCACTTGTTCTGCTGCATCCTCCCTCTATATCAAACATCATCACAAGCAAGTCAGCAATGTTAATCCACTCCGCTACGCTGGTCATCTATGTCTCCTTTGTGTTACTCATCCCGAAAACGCCGGCTGAATGTTCTGTGTTGAGACTATCTAAACGCATGTATGGAGTGGCTAGGGCGGAAGAATCAGTTTCCTTGTGAGTACCTACTCCAAAAAAATGATCTGAATATCAACACAATGATCCTTATATTCCACTAATCATTTTACATTTGTCTAGATTAGACAAGGCAAGGCAAGTAGTCTTTCCATGAATTAGAACAAATTATTCATAAATCTAACAATCTTGGTTGGGTCACTCAGCAGTTCATCCAGGACCCCACTCTCACATGCAACGTAGGCACATATTCAACATAGACAAAAATTCAAAGCAACCAATGATCATGGTGATTCTGACCACACATTATTTTATTTGGTGACATGTTTTCATTATCTGTATGTACATATATGCATACAGAGGATCCCACTTTGGGCAAGGAATGGAGACAGGATCATTTCATGATCCAAAAGGTTTCAGTGTGTAAGAGAAATTGATTTGAAATCCTTTCAATTCATTCCAAATAAAAAGGGCCTAATCTTCATTTTTCAATAGTGATCCACCCAGACAGTATGACCAGGAATTCCAACAAGATGTCAAAATTAATTTAGTACCAAAAACTCCAGAAGAACAAGATGAAGAAGAAAGGTAAGATTATTGATTGAGAATTTCTCAGAAAGTATTTTTGGTTATAATATAATGATCCAACTAATCTAGAAAAATTTCTAATTGCGGATCAATTAGATTGAAGGCATTGAAAAATGTTGTCTCAAAGCACTTTGGAGTCAAAGTTCAAAAAATAGATGCAACATTAGATTGGATCAAGTAAGTTAAAAATTCTGTTTTGAAAAGTTGAAAGAAAATAATTTTACATACCCAATGAGCTGTTTCAGTTGATAAATTAAATTGGGAAATGTGTGAACTCTCAAAAACCTAAAGATCATTGAGGGAGTCTATTTATGAGGGAAATTTGACCCCTGAAATCATGGCAAATTCTCCCATAGGAAAATTAGGAGCTGTTGGCATGTGGAGGAAATTGTGAGTTGTTATTTTTTTGTTTTGTTCTTTGAGTCAAATGTATCTGATTTACTCAATTGGTGTCTGCTTGTTTTGTCAAGTTATTTGATGAAAAAATTTCTAACATTTGAAGGACTTATCAAGTTTAGATCAGATTTTGAAACAGAGCTTAAACTGATGTAAGTATCTATTAATATTTTCCATGTCTACAAAAATAGAAGAGTACCAACCTGATACAATCATGATAACATACTTTGATTTCAATACATGAAAAATAGCAAAGTGGAAGACACAATTCACTCCTTACATCCTGAGCTCACAAAGACAGAATTGAAGCATTTCAAGAAGTTTGTGGTAGATTCAGGCTTCAAGCATGCAGAAAACATGAAACTGGAGGATGAGGTTGAAACTATTTTTCAACAATGGATGAAAAGCAAAAAGACGGTTGGGTTTTACATATCTAAATTTTGGGAAAAGTTGGTTAATGGATTGAAATCTCTTGGGAAAAAAGAAAACAAATCTCAGTGAGATATTATTGGTACCAATTTCTTCATTTGTTTTCTGTTTCAAGTGAAAAAAATCATTGTTGTTTTTCCCATTGACAAGTCTTGTTTTAAAACTCAATCAGGGATTTTTTTTTAACTTTTTAAAATTGACATTATTACCAATTTCCTAAGGGCATTGATAAAAAAATTAATTTCTGCACACACATGTGGTTTTTGCTGTGCATAGCAAACACTTCAAAAATAGTTATTGGACCCAAAAAACAAAAGATTCTTACTTTTGTATTTATGATGTGATGGGTCCTTTTTGGCCAAAAATACTATTTCTGGTCATATGACCCCATCAATCACAAGCTGGAGAAGTAACATCTTTTCAATACAACCAGCAAGCTGTAGAGTCCAGGAAAGCTTACTAGCAAACTGGTTACTGGATACACCCCAGGCTATCAGAATAGCTTTCCAGCAAGCCAGTACTTCTCCCTCTTTCCCAGAATCCATCCTGATGGTCTGGGGATTTTAAAGAACATTGGTAACCTATCACAACAAGCTGGGGATTCTTGAATCTATCCCAACATGCTGCATCTTCTCCAGATTTTTGGAAAGCTCCCCTGACAAGCTGGGTTTCTCAATCTTGTCAGAAAGCTATCCCAACAAGTTGTTCCTCCTACAGATTGCCATTTATCTGGCCTGGAAAGCTGATCCTTCTCCTATATGGCCCCAAAGGCTTTTTGGGGTCAATAGTATTAGGAACCCCTCCAAGACTTCTGTCCAAAGAAAGCATAAAATTTTCTGAATGAACTAGCCTTGTGTCAACGCTGTAACAGATACAATACACTGTGTGTATCATGGAGAATTCTGCAAAGCTGCATGGCCAAAAACCAAATTTGTTGAATCTCCTTGCAAATAAAAGCAGATGGGTCAGATAGTTTTTTTTATTGGGGCTCAGGTACATAGTGATACATGGCAGAAAGATGACAGATATCGTATCTGTTTCAGCGTTGCTTGTGTGAATGCAGAAACCCACATGCTTAGGGGGTTTCTTAGAGATTGTTTGTCAATACCCGCCGCTAGGTACCAAGCACCGCTTGGCGGGTATCACCCCCGCCCCGGCTAGGCGGTGCCGGGTGCCGTTTTTGGTCAACAAAAAGGTACATTACCTTGTTTTCCAGAGGGGTTTCCTTCCAATCAACGAGGTACCTCCTCTTGAAAAATCTGGAGAGCAAGTTGTTATATATAAAATGGATGAACTTTGCAATGTTATAAAGCCCTACCTATTACTCAAATAAATCTATTGTATATGAGTCTGGTTCAAGAGAACAGATGGTTGGTTTATACTAAAGATCAGGTAGATAGAGGTGCCAAACTCCAAAACTTTTCTTTATTATTGGTACTAGGAAAATAGCTTCTCCAACATAAGATCATGGACTATGATAATATATTGAAAAATAAAGGGAAAAAATATTGTTGCAAGGAGAAGAAGGAAAAGAGAATCTCAGCATAAACAGGAAATTATGTATCATATATTTACAAGTATTAATCAAGAGTATTAGTATGTCAGCTCTGCAACAGTTCACATTACAGTACATTCTCATTTCTTAATAGACTACCAAATCAATCCTCATTAAGTGCTATATAACCTGCTTGATCTATTTCATCATTATCACCAGCTATTATTGTAAAAATCCTGGACCTAGCTTTCATAACAAAACCACGATTAAGCTATGGTGAAATTACATTTACAAGGGTTGTTGGATCCGGGCTTCGGAGTCGCCATTTAGAGCTGACGAAAACCGAGTTGTGAAAGATTGGGGAAGGATTTAAGTGCCTGTAGCCTTAGGCGCATTGTCGCAGGTTTTGAGTAAAGCATGGCCATTCTGGAAGGTGTTCAAGAGGAGAGAAAAATGTAGACCAGTGAGCAGAAGTTTCTTCGAAAGTGGACACCAGAAGATAAGCAAAATATCCAAAGATTTTATTGAGTGTACTCACCCTGCGCTGACAACAGAGCGTCCATTGACCTATAGGGCAGGCGAAAAGTGGCCGGCCGCGTGAAAATTCCCAGTCGGCTGTTCGCTCCGTCGAAGGAAACGTGCCCGCTGAGTGGAGGAGGTTGCGATCAGGGAAGCTTTGTTTAGTGATAGATACTGGGAGAGAACGAGTGACGAGATCAATGAAATCATTTGACTTACAGAATTTGTAATAATCAAAACAATATGGAAGCATCGGCGGATTATGCTTCTCACACATTGCATCGTACCCTGTTCCGACTTGACAGAGGGCAAACCCGCAGCTGATCAACAGAAGCAGGATCAAGCTTGCAAGGGATTGGGTGATGGTGGATTTCATGGTTCTGTTTGGGAGGCGATATCTGCTCAGTTGAAGGTTGAATGGATTCGATGCGCTGGACGTAGGCTTGTCGATTTTTGACGAAGATGATGTCACAAAAGCAGATGTGGGTGATCAGATTGGAGAGGTGGGATTGGTATCGGCTGTCGGAATTGGCATCCGAGGAGACCATTAAATACGAAAAACCTCCCGAAAAACCTCCATGGTGTACAGATCTGATAGGTTTGCAGACAAAAACCACCCTACAGAGAACCTTGAGCGTAGATACATACCTATCTTGGGAGGTTGACTTGTGCCAAGTCTCAACGGCGGCGCTCTTTTGCGCCAGAGAACAGGGGCCATCGCAAAAAATAACCGGATCCACGGCGGACCTGGTCAAGTTGGACCCCATCGCTCAGGTGGTACATCTGTATTCAACATTTGATCCTTACTCAAAAAACTTCCAGCTGCTTTCATTTCGTTGGATGGGCGTTTATCATCGGGGCTTCCTTGGGAAGACACGGCCATAGCTGCAAGTGGCTTCCAGGGCAACCGACGTGAGGGGCAGATCGGCGGAGCTCCTCTCTTGCGGTCAGCCTACGGCCGATGTGTTCTCTCGGCCTGCGGGCAAGGCGATGTTTCGCCTTCGCGCAATCCAGCCCCTCCTTCCTGGTCTGCAGGGAAAAGCCATTGCAGTGCCTGTGGCGCCCGTCTTCGTGGCAGAGCGGGATGGACTCTGCGCTCCGAATAATGAGGGATTGAGAAGGGTCAGCCGACAAAAATTAAATGATAATCCATTTGTTTGAGCCTCCGTTAGCAGCTCTCCTGCCCAGATCTACCAGCCACGAAAGCAGTATTTGAATGATGATGGCCGATTATGGAGAAAAGCAGCTTTTGTTCACCTTTATACTGCATCCATATTTGTTCTTTTTTCTCTGGGTCTGAAACGACCACCTCAATCCGCTGGAATTCCCGTTAAGAATCCGCATGGGTTGTAGGCTTCAGATGGAGTACATAGCAATGCGTATCCATTCATAAGCGAGCTCAGCGCCTTGACCGTCATTGAAGGCACTCATGAAGAGAGGTCAATAACCTCGTGCACCTATACTAGCTCACCCTTTCAAGACCCTCAATGCTGCATGCACACTTTTCATGACGAAGATCGGATTTTTCAGGGTGACGATCGACGTACATAAAAAAACAATACATACAATCAAACAATCAATTTTGTGTGATTGTTTGAGAGCGTTGATCATTCTTTGAAGATTGACAAAGGAAAGAAAAGGCTACAGAAGGAAAAAAAAAAACATGAATGAATGAAGGAAGGATTCGAGCAAGGAGTGGGGTTGTGAGACCATTCGAGATGCAAGCCCAGAGGGATATAGAGAGAGGGACGGGAGGAAGAGGACATGAAGATCAAGATACATCTCGAGGAAAAGAAAATGCAAATAACAAAAAAAAGGGGATTAAAAACGAATTAAAAATTAAAGCGACTAATAATATAATGAATAGTGATAACAAGCGAGATGAGGAGGTACTTGCGAAAGAGTACAAATAGACAACCAAAGAAAGGCAAGAAGATTAAGAAATGATTGATTGAAATTCAGAAACAACAAGTTGAGATGAGAGTAGAGAGAGACAGCGAGGGGAGAGGGACAGAAACGAGACGGGGGGGGTAGGATCTCAATTTGCGTCAATAGGACAACCACGCATTCGTCGATTTCGATGGAATGGCAGATGGGATCTGGGATGACGCGGGAGTAGTTGGAGATAATGAAGGAGCCGAAGCCTTGCGCACACACAAAAAAAAACATAAATTAGATTGGTTGGATCCTCACAAGAAAGTTGAAGAAAAGATCGAACTCACGTCTCCATGTGGTCCAAGCGGTCTAGTAGCAGCCTGAGTCGAAGGACCAAACGACGAGTTTCTGGAATGATCACGAGGCTCCTTGTTATGAGCAGGCTGGGCGAGGGAAGCGGCGGACCTAGAATGAAGGATAGTTTTCTGGGTAGCAGTCGACGGCTTCGCGACAGCGGAGACTTTGTCGGTCATAGGTTGTTGGAGTTTCCTCATTGCGGATTTATGACGAGAGTCGAGTTCCTCGATCGTCATCACTTTACTCTCCCTGTGTGTTGTTTGCGGTTGTGAAGGACGAGCAGAGGGGGCAGGATAGGAGCCAAGGATGACTCTGGAAGCGGGACGGGTGTTGACGGCGGGACGATGGACATCTTCAGAGTGCCGAGCATTGAGCAGCGGTGAGAGATGCTCAGAGAACGGACGGACGGCCGGCTGCTCGGTGGTACTCCTGAGATGCGTATTTGAGGGCCGAAGCTCCTGGAGCTCAGGGATCCGAGGAGAGTAGGACATCGGGCGCGAGGCGTTAAGGGCGGGAGAGGATGGCTTGGAGCGGGGACTAGCTCCGGGCTTGGAGGAGCCTACGATTGGACTGGTCCATGAAGCTGGCGCCCCCGGCGGGCGAGACACTCTGCGGTCGGTCTCGAATTTTTCAAAGTCGATCGACACTGTTCTATCAGCCTGACTGAGAGGACGCTGGCCACCAATAGGCTTGTGCGGGGTATTGTAGAGAGGGAGGATCGTCTCGGCGGCTTCGCCTACGGTATCAGGTTTGGAGAGATGTTCGGTGTGCAGATTCGGGCTGGGGAGAACCTCGGTGATCCCTAGTGAGCCTGTCAGTCCTCCATCAACATCCAGCGAAAGCAGATGATCATTGGACGGTCGGGACGTGTGTTCGCACATGGTCAGCGGCGTCTGGGGCGACATTGGGGATCCGGGATGACGCGGCAAAAGCGAAAATTGGGAGCTCTTGCGTCCGTGGTGCTTCTTAGGGGGACTGGCAGCCATCGTCGCACTGTCCCCATCGTCACCGTGTCGTTTCTCCCAGAGCGCAAGGTCGGCATCAAGAGCCATCGATTGTCTGTAGGCGGCAGCATCTTCTTGCATCCGACGGTCTTGGTCAAGTTGTTTGAGTTCTTCAATCTTCTTCCGGATCACTTCTAACAATCTCCATTGAACCGCCGCGCCCATCAGGAAGAGGCCCCCCATTACGCCCAATTCGGCTTGAGAGAGACGAAAGGAGTACAAAAATGATGGATCAGCAAAAGAAGGAATAAAACAAAAAAAAAGGAATGATTGAGCGTACCTTGCATTGTGACTGTGAATGGGAAATAAGTGAGCCGAGGGAACATGCGCCCGAAACCGATGATATAAAGCCAGAACTCCTTCAACCCGCCGGTCGTAAAACAATCGATCCCGAGGACGACGGCGGCGGCGCCCATGGCAGCAGTTGCAAAAAGGGTCACATGGATCGTCAGCAGAGGGATAGTGGCGAGGACGAAGCCGATGGAGGAGCCGGCGAGGATGAGCACCCAACGGAGACCGGCTGCTTGAATAAGTGAATTGCTTTTCAGTGACAGGATAAACAAGCTGATCACGAATCCACCGCCCGCTCTGTTATGAAGAAAAAAAATGCATAAAAAATTAAGTATGTATTGACGTAACCAGAGAAAGCAGAAATATGCTTACCCGACCAGGAATCTGGTTCCCTTCCAAAAGATCACCGCCACAGCGCCTGCAGCGATAGCCGAGATCAAGCATGCTAGAACGAAGACGCCCTGAATCTGAAGGGAGATAAACGTAGTATAAGAATAGGACTATGAATACGGGAGCTGGAGGTGGGAGGGAGAGAAACTCACAGCAGTACTTGGATGACGGTCCTGTTCGATGACGCCGAACCTGAGGATAGGAGTCATGACGATCAAAGCGCCGAAGAACGCGCCGGTGAGGAAGTAACTCGACCTATGTGTATTGTCAAAGGTAAACATAAGCGCGGGGGGGGCAAGAATGGGGAGAAATGGTAGTGGACAGACCATCTATTGCGGCCGCCCCAGAAGCCCATGGGGGCGCCACTGACGATGAGCAGGGCGCCGAGAATGGAGAATGGGACGGTGATCTTGGTGTCCAATGGGACGGCCTCATCCTTGTTCAGAATCGAGCTTGAGTTTGATGATGATGGGGAGGTAGAATTGGTACTGGCGAGAGTATTATTGCGATTATTATTAACAAGCGTAGTGGTCGTGTTTGTTGTGGTAGAGTTTTGAGCGGACAGTGTTGTTTGATTATTATTGGTTTGTTGAGCGGGGCCTGATTGGGGGAGGGTGGAGTTAGTAGTTGGCGTGGTGTTGCCGGTGGCAGGTGTGGGCGGATTGTTGGCGGGTGCTGGCCGGGTGCCGGGTGCCTCCGGCTGGGAAACGGCTTGTGCCGATACCTGATGTGCGCCGGGGTCGAGCCAGCCTAAAGCTGCAATGACCAAGAGGATTAGGAAGACATGGAAGTTGTTGGCCATCATGATGATGCGCTTGGGATGTCTTGAGGTGGCGGTATCTGGATGGGTTTATCGGCTTGTCCTATTTCCTTCGGCCGTCGTAGGATTTCGTGCGGTGAGTTTTTTTTTTCTCTTCAATGTCTGTTGGAATCAAAAGGGAGATAGTCATAAGTTAGAAACCAATAAACATGACATCATCATAATATAGAAATC